AGCACATTTTCCACTTGTTCTTAAAATGAATAAATCAGCCTATGTAACATATGTAATACTTTAATAATTGACTTAAGAAATACAGTTCTTTATTTATAAAAAATAAACAAATATTTTCTGTGAAATTCAGTAATTAAGTTAATTCTGTAAAAGTAGTACCATTATAATCTTGCCTGCTGAAAAAAAAAAATAGAACCCCTCCCAAAAATATGGATTTCAGGGTTATAATGGGAATTGTATTAGTTTGAATGTAAACTATAATGGTGTCTATTTGATGGATTCTATTGGTGGGATGTAATCTGGCAGATGGCAACCAATAGAACAACAGTAATTCCTATTGGAATAATGCCCAAAACAAAAAGGAATTTTGTAATGGTTTAATGGAAACTATAATCATTTCTGTGATGGTTTCTATTGTTTTTTTTTTCAGCAGGGTAATGATACCCATACTGTGCTGCACATTATTGACAATATTGAGATGAAGCTTGACTTTGCAAATTTAAAATCGCAAATCAAATCGCAATCGCAATATCTGTCAAAACAATCGTAATTCGATATTTTCCCCCAAATCGCACAGCCCTAATTTCTAATATTGGTTTCCTATTTTAATATACTTTAAAATGTAATTTATTCCTGTGACGCAGCGCTGAATTTTCAGCATCATTACTCCAATCTTCAGTGTCACATGATCCGGAGAGAAGAGTTTACATGAACTTGACTTAAATATTCAACTACCTCACTTTAAACTATAGAACTGCTTCAGAACACTTGGAATATAGTGCACGGAAACTTTATGGTGCTTTAAAATGTTTTTGTGCCTTTCGTGCGGCTTAACAATAACAGAATAGTATACACACAATATGGGATTTGGATCGGTCTCGTCTGACTGATACCCGATCTGACAGAAAATACCAGTATCGGAGCCGATACCGATACTGAGTATCAGATCGGTGCATCCCTAAGTAGCAGCACTAACTGTGCTTTCACACAGGAGTCTGCAACTGATCCATGGCTGTTTACTACAAACACAACATTTATCCATTTTGATTTCAAATCTAAA